GTTGCTTCCAAATGTACACCAATCGGGATATAGGCATCTTTAATTATTTTTTAAACATACATTATAACATTTTTTTACTTATTCACATATCCCCGGTGAATGTAGGTAATGAGCAAAATACATATGGAATTTTTAAAAACACAGAAAAAAACACAAGCGAAATGACAGGTTGCAAGTGAAGGGGAAGAGGAAGGGGGACGCTGGCAAAATGATAAACAGATACGGAAATACAAGGCGGCACTTGTGTCCAGCTCTTAATGAGACACCCGTTGGCAGTCAAGAGAAGGTGACACCCTGTCCAGCTGAGAGAAGGGGCCGGCGTGTGTGTCTCTTCATAAGAAATGACAATTTGAAGTTTGGGAAGAAAAAAAGATAGAGAAGTGTGAGTTGGCTGCAGTCCAAAAGCACCGTTGGGGTGCGCGGTGGGGCCTCTCTCCTGGGATCTGATTTAGATAGTAGATCTGATGCTTTGCCTGACTGCTTCTTGCCCCCATTTATACTCCTGTCATACACTTGTAAGTAAAGTAACAAAAGCCATAGATATACTGTATGCCAAAGGAAGCTAAACCGCCTTAGAGCTCTCCATGGAAATCACTGATATTGGGCGAGATATTTATTTAGATGTTTATATCCCATGCTTCTCCCCAGTGTGGACCCAGTCCAGCTTACAACATTGTTCCCCACTCTTCCATTTTATCCTCACAACAACCCTGTGAGGTAGGTTAGCTTGGAGAGAGAATGACTGGCCCCCAGATTCATCCAGTGAGCTTCTATTGGGGAGCACCTTATATTAGGGATGAGCGAACAGTCCACGTCTCATTTCTTTTTATATTCCTTTCTATTTTTGTCGATGGTTTCAGTTCTCTCCTTTCCGCTGTGGGTTTCTTAGGTTTGTTTGTATTGTGCTTGCATAATGTATGGATCTGATGCACAGTTTCTACAGTTCACATTACTGATATGTGTGTGTGTGTGATTTATTGATGCACAAGTAATGTTTATGGGGAAAATTGGTTCAAGGAAATAAAAAATGGTTGGGAAATATAGATTCACAGCTTTTATTTGTACAAGAAAGAGGCAAAGTCAAAGTGAAAGTTTTGGGTGTGGAAAAAGCGGGGATGAGCAGTTCGAAATGATTATTCTATCTTGCAGGCAGTGATGCTCCATGAGGTTTTAGCCAGCAGGGGGCTCCCAAGATCTGGAACAAAATTTTCTATGCGTTGCTGTGGATTATAGAATGGCCTGAGTTAACACCATTGGGTTTCCGTGAACAAACAGGCACATCCATGTCATTGCAGGTGTTTGCAGAAAAAATTAACTCTGTGTAATTCGTTTAGTTCCCTTTAGTTGTTTTTTTTTTTAAATCTCAAACTGTGCACAGACATGGTGGCACCGGTCAGATTCAAAGGATTCCTGGTTTGCAGCTTTAACCAAAGTACATATGACTCAAATCTGGATTATGGTTGTGGCAAAAAACAGCAACACCTATGCCTCCCCCCCAACTCTGAAAGAGCTTCAAGATGATCTTGGTGAAGAGCAAGATGCAATGTTTATGGAGGGTGTTACAGCTCATGGGGACTTTGGCAATACTTACGTTTCAGTCTGCTTTCACACACATTGGACAATGCAGTTTCAGAGCACTTTCAGTGCACTTTAGTGATCATTTGCAACTGTATTTTCTTGTGGAGAGTGCACTGAAAGTACATTATCAAGCGTGTGTGAATGAAGCCACAGTCACGCTGGGAGAGATGCTGGAAGATCAGGCATGCGATTTCCAGGGTATGCTTCCATTGCAGATAGCAGCTGTGAGCAACATGTCTTAGGCCCAGTCTGCATCTAGTATTTGCTCTGTTGTTGTACCAAACCCACACTGGAACAGAAAAAGATGCGGCTCAAAACCACATTCATATACCCCAGGTTAATTCGTACTGACTGCAGAATCACCCCTGAATGGCCATAAAACAGCCATAAATCTATGCAGATGGCTACCATAAAACCAAGAGATCAAACAAAGTGAAAGCAGCATGCAGTCTGGACGCTGGTATAAAATTCAATAATCAATCAAAGTGAAAGCAGCATGCAATGTAGATGGGAATTTCTGTTCCAGTGTGGGTTTGGTAAGACAGCAGAGCAAATGCTGGATGCAGATTCAGCCTTAGACAGGGGAGGGCTGAGGAAAGGGTTTAAGTCTTTACCCCTTTTCCTGACCTCAGGTGTTCCCCTGAGACTGTTATTTGCCCACTGAGGGAAAATCACATGAACCTGTGAAATTGCCTTATTCTAAATCAGGCCTTTGGTCTGCTGTGACTGATGATGGCTCTCCAGGGTTGCATGCAGAGGACTTTCACATCACCTATTGCCTGGTCCTTTAAACTGGAGATGCCGGGGTTTGCACCTGGGACCTTCTGCATGCAAATTAAGTCTACTACCACTGAGCCCTGATCCGTTCCCAAAAAACATGCGTGGGAACTCAGTTTATTTATATTTATTTATTCAAGTATTTCTACCCCGCCCTACCCCGCAAGCGGGCTCAGGGCGGCTTACAGAGGCCTTGTTTATTTTTGTCGATGGTTGCTGTTATTCTCATTTTGCAGAGCCTGAGGGAAAAAGTTGCTCAAATCTGTCTGTATATCTGAGCTGGCCTTATCAGTCAGACCGATGGTCCATCTACCCCAGGTTGTCTTCTCTGACTCTGGTGGCTTCCTAAGGCCTCTAAGCTGTGAGCAAAGATTCTACTCTGTGAGCTACTGGCATTAAAGTTGTGAGCGAGTGATTTGGCTACTACATAAATTAGTTTGCTTTGGAGCCATCCTTCCTGAGCTAAGACAAAAATGTGTGAGCCGGAAGCTAAAAACCTGTGCGCTAGCTCACACGAACTCAGCTTAGAGGGAACACTGGGTCTAGCACCTTTTACCTGAGATCGTTTTACTAAGAATTGTGGCTGGGGTCTTCCCCAATGACGCCCCCCCCCCCCGCATGCAATATATGTGTTATCTCTGCGCTCCCATCAATGGTACAATTATCAGCTCCGGGAACAGTTTGAAGCCGTTGGTTGTCACAGAGACTTGCTAGTCAGACATCTGTAAGATATACTTCATAATGGACATGTGGAAAGATTGTGAAAATGATTGTGTATCATTTACACTAGAGGTGCATTTACCAAAGGCCAGGACAACTATATTTACGACTGAACCAACTAAACAAGTAGCAGAAGAACTATCCAAGGACACTGAATCAGGCAGAGAAGAAGGAAAATCGGACCAGGCTACTGCACTTCTTTAAAGATGGATAATTGGAATGTATTATCTATCAACATCAATGGCCTTAATTCTCCTACTAAAAGATTCAGAACTTTCAACTCATTAAAGAAACAAAAAAGCAGACATTATTTGTATACAAGAAACCCACATAAAGGAACAAAAAATAAAAAATAAAAATAAATGATTGTGACCTGTACTCTTCCCTCTATAACAACAAGGCTCTGCAAGTTTAGAGTAGGGAGTCTGTAACATGCACTCAGACAGGGCTATAGTGGGAGACCTCCTAGTGGCAGCCTGACCCCCACAGCCACTTGGGGGAAAATGCTGTCATGTTGACAGCATGATGCAATTTCTGGGGCAAACCCAGAAGTGATGTCCCACTGTTGATGTGACACTAGCATTTACCAGGAGCACTGTGGTTTTATGCCATCGTTTGTGCTATGTTTTTGATGGGACTTCTATGATTTTACACATCATGTCATTGATGCAACAGTCCCCCCCCCATGTCTGCACACACACCCCGGCCTCCCACTGGGAGCTAGCCACTGGCTGGCAACCCTTCCCCAGAGCTCCACCTCTAATGGCTACAACCGTGATGTGTGGTTGGAGATGTAAGGAAGGCTTTGCCCCACTATGCAGAAAAGCATAGATCCCCTTTGGGGGGGGGGGGGGGGAATGGCAACTGCATCATTTTAAGATGAGTGAACCAACCAGAGTTGCCAACTCTGCCTTGGAGAATTCCTGGAGATTTGGGGACAGTGCCTGGGGAAGGATTTCAGTTTCTCCCGGGGTCTGTAATGTACCTCAGAGTCCTCTCTCTGAAGCTGCCATTTTCCCCAGGGGAACTGATCTTGTACTCTGGAGATCACTTGTAATTCCGGGAGAATTCCAGCTCCCACCTGGAGGCCAGCCATGCTAGACCTAACAGTGGAAAGAAGTCCATTGAAGTCAATGGGTTTAGAAGGGTCTAGCTCTGCTAAAGACTGCTTATATAGTTGTTAAAAGATAAGAAGAAGCTCAGAGTTTAATATGGAGGCTCCCTAGTAAATGAAAAGGTCTTGGGATGGGGTTGCCAACTCCTGTTTGGGGAAATAGCTGGAGATTTTGGGGTGGATTTTGGGGTGGGTTTTGGGGAGGGGAGGGATATCTGCAGGGTGTAAGGCTGTACAGTCGACCCTCCAAAGCAGCCATTTTCTCGAGGGGAACAAATCTCCATTATTGCGAGATCAATTGCAATGCCAGGAGATCTCCAGGAATCACCTGGAGGTTGCCAACCCTAAGCTGGGATTCCTTAAGTGAACTCAGGACTGTGTATGTCCCCTAGGGTTGCCAGTCTCCAGGTTGGGCCTGGAGATCACTCGGTATTACCATCAGTCTCCGGACTAAAGAGATTGGTTCCTCTGTAGAAAATGGCCGCTTTGGAGGGTGGACTTTATGGCTGACGTCTCTCCCCTCCCCTCCCCTGCCCTCCCCTCCCCATACCCTGCCTTCCTCAGGCTTCAAGTATTTCCCATCCCAGTGCTGCCCCCCTGCCGCCCCGTAAATGTATATCGTGCGGCTCTGTTTAATTCCATAGCCCTTGTGGATTGCCACTTCCAGCATGGAGTAAGGAAGACAAAGGCAGGTATTTTGATGACACCCCTTTGTTGTAAGCTGCCTTGAAGAACAATTGCAGATGGGGTAAAAAACCCCAACCTTTGAATAATCTAAAAAAGCTCCCTGGGTTCTTCTCTTTTTCTGCAGTGACGATAGTGCAAATTTTCCATGAATCTCTCAAGATGCCCCCAGATGGGATTTACTATGAGTGAGTCTTGTTCTTGTTGTCTTTTGTGGCAGGGTGGAAGGAAGCATTTGTGTGCTGGGGACAATGTAAAGTTCATTTTGTGCTGGAAAACCCTTCCAATGTACTTGGGGAAAGCGTGAGAATCCACCATTTCCTGGTGGCCTTCCTTATGGCCTGTTCTGTTTATTCCCATCCTATCTTCAAGGGACTCTGGATGGCTATATGGTTCTCCCTTCCTTTGTTTTATCCTTGCAACAACTCTGTGATAACAGGGCGCGCTCACACGCACAATTAGCCCCGCCACAGGCACGAATGCCAGGTGGATTTAAAGGGCGTGATCAGACGCGAACATCTGGGAAGTGCCCTGCACCCGTTGGCAACCCATTTTGCTCCGCTGCAGAAGCAGAGAAAAAGACACCGGGGAAAATCCGGTAGTAAACGGGTTGCGATGGGCCACGGACAGAGTTTCCCGTGTCTGATCGTTCCAGAACGCTCTCATGGCGTCGGGAAGGTCTGATCAGGCCATCCCGACTCTGTGCCATTGTTTCCCCCCCTCTTCTCAGTATGCGCATCATCACAAATTCCATAGGGAGCCCTCAGGGTGGAGATGCGATTCATTGATTCCTCGTTTAAGCGCATTGGAAACAAAACCCCCCCCCCCCCCCCCCGAATCACCTCTGGTTGCGTCTGATCATGCAGTGGTGGGCTGTGCCCGCAGCTTCCAAGGACTGTGTGACCGCGCAACTGTGGGTCAAATTCCTACGGAGGAAATAGCCTCGCTACCCCCTACTTTATCTCACACGTGTGACCACCCCCTAAGTTAGTCTGAGAGGGAAAGATCTTAGATCACCATGTGAGCTTTCATCGCTAGAGTTGCCATCTCCAAGTTGGAAAATTCCTGGAGATTTGGGGGTTGGAACCTGGCGAGGGTGGGGTTTGGGGAGAGAAGGACCTCAGGGGATATAGTCCATGCTCCAAAGCAGCCATTTTCTCCAGGAGAGTGCCTCTGAGGTCAAGAATGCTGTGCCTCCTTAACATAGTTTCCATTCATTTTTACAGGAAGGATTTCGACATTTGCAGAAAACGCTATGCCTGGAAACAGCCACTGCTGGGGTTTGTCAGCAACTTTCCTTTGACGGGCTTTGTGTGAGGTCTGCCTGTGGTGAGGGCTCAGGGCAATGACATCAGTTAGTGTGTGCCTAGAAGGGCAGGACCAGGGTAGATGGATATGGTGTATGTGTGCGAGAACAGGAAAGGGGGCAAATGTACACTCGGTGTACATGGGAAGGGGCTGTGCCCCAGTGGCAGAGCATCTGCTTGGTATGCAGGGGGTCCCAGGTTCAATCCCTCGCATCTCCAGTTGTAGGTGATGTGAAAGACCTTCAACCTGAGACCCTGGAGAGATACTGCCTGACTGAGAAGATAATGCAGCCTTTGATAGACCCAGGGCCTGATTCAGTATAAGGCAGCTTCATGTGTTCATGGGATAGTGAAGAAGAAAACACAGGGCAGGAATTTGGGACTGGCGTGATCGTGAAGGGCCCAGCCTGACAAGAGACACTGGACAAGCCCTTGGTGTCAGCAGAGGAAGCAGAACGTGACAGCATCTCGAGGGCCCTGGTGGGAGGAGCACTCCCACCTTTCTTGGTGGGCGGAGCACTTGCAGAAGCAGGTCCTCAGTTCTTTCACTCCTTAATAACTGAAGGGCACTGTTAGGGCCAACAGGAATTTGAGCGAGTCATGCTTTGCTCCATTCAGTGTACCTGCATTGGAGTAAGTGCCAAAAAAAAGGAAAGCGTAACTGGGGAGGGGGCCCAAGGGCCCATGGAAAACCTCCAGCCAGCACTGACCCACACGCACACACACACGCACATACACACATTGAGGAAAGCCAGAATAGGATAGTTTTTACAAAGATTTTAATCACTCAGTGACTGTGTCACAAGGGAGGGCCCATAATTCAGTAGTAGGATACTTTCTTTGCGTAGAAAAGGGCTGAGTGTCTATCACTGATGTCTGCACATAGAAGGTCCCAGGAAACAGAGGCTGGGAAATAACCCTTCCCTAAGTCAGACCCCAGAAAACTTCTGCCAACCAGAGCAGACAGTACTGTGCAAGAGGGACCAATGGCCCAGCTTGATATAGGGAGGTTTCTGATCGGCAACCTCAAGTTACAGCGACTACGCATCAAAGACGGTGGATTTCGTGAAGACATGTATGTACGTACCTGAGTGAGGTAGCAGTATTTCTTATGGATGTGCACAGGGCAATGCAGCAGGTGAGCATTTCCAACAGAACTGTAGCACAGGGAGATGCATGCCATAGATCACAAGCCCCAACCTGCCCTCTCTGAGGACCTCCAATTTATTGGCATGTGGAAAGAGTGGGCTACTGAACTTCCTTCATAGGCTAGTAAAAATGTGACTTTCAATGCAGGTTGAAGAGTTTTCTATTATTGTTGTTTTCCTGTAGTTATACAGTGAATATTAGGTAAAGTAAAGGTAAAGGTTTCCCTTGCTCAAAAGCCAGTTGAATCCAACTCTAGGGGGCAGTGCTCATCTCCATTTCCAAGTCGAAGAGCCAGCAGTGTCCGAAGACGTTTCTGTGGTCATGTGGCCGGCATGACTAAATGCCCAGGTGCGCGGATCACTGTTACCTGCCCACCAAAGTGGTACCTATTTATCTACTTGCAGTTTCTTGCTTTCGAACTGCTAGGTTGGCAGGAGCTGGGGCCAGAGACGGGAGCTCACTCGGTCGCACGGCACTAGGGCCTTGAACTGCTGAACTACTGACCTTCCCGTCTGCAGCTCAGCGTCTTACTTAAAATGCAAGCAACTGGCCCCTACCGCAGGTAGTGGTTGGGAGACCCAGAGAACTCTGAATCTGTTCCTGTTCTGTGGTTAAGCATTTCTATTTCTTGTATCTTTTGATAAAGACCTGGATAACAACTTCAGGCTTGGAGAGGAAGTCCTATCATGTTCCCTGTGACGAATCAGACCTGTGGTTTCCTGCTTGCATGAACCAGAAAATGACTCTGCACTTCTTAGATATTTTGGGCCTGCTTACTAGAAAGGGCTGTGGATAGATTATAAAAATAATGCTAGAAGAAAGGAATGGAAAGAATGGGGTTATTGTCCCACAGGCAATTAAAAAAAGGTTTCTATAACATGTGTTGCTGCTGTGGATTTTCAGCATAGTTGGGGAACAACACTACTGACCGAATCCTGACCTGGTTAGCTTCAGCAAAGCTTCTGTATCATGTGCCCTTTGAACCAAATTCTGGAATCAGATCCTTCCTCCAGTCCCCTTTTCCTCAGCTGAACTCCATCCATCCATCCATCCATCCATCCATCCATCCATCCATCCATCCATCCATGTTCCAACCTCCCTTTTACACCCTTTGCAAGCAGCCCAGATCAGCAGCATGAATGCAGCTGCCCATTTAATACTGGCTGATTGTTGGTGCCTTGTAGTCTTCCCCCTCCTAAGTACTCTTCGAAACAGCACAACAGTAGCCTGAACACTTGGACAATTTGGGGTTTTGGCCCTTGCCAGAGACAGATTGAATCCGACGAAGACGGAGGTCCTGTTCCTGAGTCGTGGCGGACCGAGGGTAGGGATCCCACTCCCGACTTTCGATGGGGCTCAGTTGGTGACAGCGCCGGAGGTTAGGTGCTTGCGAGTGCTCTTGGATGCCCCCTTAACTATGGAGGCCCAGGTAGCAGCCACTGCCAAGTCGGCCTTTTACCACCATCTTTGGCTGATCAGGCAGCTGGTTCCCTTCCTTGAACGCAACAACTTGGCAACAGAGATCCATGCGATGGTCACCTCGAGGTTGGACTACTGTAATGCTCTCTATATGGGGCTGCCCTTGTCGCAAATCCGGAAGCTACAGCTACTGCAAAATGCTACAGCCAGGCTCTTAATGGGCCTCCCAATGCGGGAACACATTCAGCCTGTGCTGAAGGTATTGCACTGGCTACTGATAGCATACCAAATTCTCTTCAAGGTGCTGGTTCTTACCTTTAAAGCCCTTTATGGTCAGGGACCTACATACCTGAGGGGCCACCTTCCCCCACATGTTCCCCAGAGAGCACTGCGATCAGGGTCCCAAAATCTACTGACCCTCCCCGGACCCAAGAATGCCAGGCTGGCTATAACCAGGGCTAGGACTTTCTCGGTGGCGGCTCCTGTCTGGTGGAACGAGCTCCCAGAAGAGATCACAGCCCTGTGGGATCTTATGCAGTTCCACAGGGCCTGCTCTTCCATGAGGCCTTCAATTAGGAGCCACCCCGATAGAGAACCCTGTTCCCTTAGGTCATCAGAACAGCCTGTTAGATCTATGGGCTGACCGCTAGGACGCTATACTGAAGGCTGGCTGCCATCTTTTAAAATCTTTTAAAATTTCTTTAATTATTAGTATCATCAATGTTAGCACCTTTTAATGTTAGAATGTTTTATATGGTTTTAGGACTATTTAAATTGTCTATTTATGTGTTTTATTCTTTCTGTAAGCCACCCTGAGCTGGGAAAGTGGGGTAGGAATCTGATAATAAATAAATAAATAATTTTGTAAAAAAAATATGGTGACTTCTGCCCTCGGATCCTCTCCTATTAGGTTTGAATCTGACTGGTACCCCTTCTTGACAAGCCATGACTTGTTCTGGAGCAGCTCCACCCCTGTGCCCAGTGAGGTAGATACAGTCCTACAACAACTTCATCTTCCATTTGGACTGAAGGATGCAGGTAACTTGCTTCGTGGTTCACCATGACAACATTCGAAAACACCTGAAAACTATGTAGACTCAAAAGCAGAGAATTCCATATTGGTATTTGTGGTACGGACGGGTGTATTTTCTGTTTCTTTGTTGTCCCAGAAGTTTGTTCTGTGTTGTGTTCTACTGTTGTTGTTTTTTAATTCAGGGTGGTGAAAACCAGTGAGGATTGTGAGGCACTCCAAAGGGATCTGTCAAGGATGGGCGAGTGGGCGTCAACATGGCAAATGGGGTTCAATGTGGCCAAGTGCAAGGTGATGCACATTGGAGCCAAAAATCCTAAATATAAATACACATTGATGGGGTCTGAACTGGCAGAGACTGATCAAGAGAGAGATCTTGGAGTTGTAGTGGATAACTCACTGAAAATGTCGAGACAGTGTGTGACTGCAATAAAGAAGGCCAATGCTATGCTGGGGATTATTAGGAAGGGTATTGAAAACAGATCAGCCAATATCATAATGCCCCTATATAAATCAATGGTGAGACCTCATTTGGAATACTGTGTGCAGTTCTGGTCACCACACCTGAAAAAGGATATTATAGCTTTGGAAAAAGTGCAGAAAAGGGCAACTCGAATGATAAAAGGGTTGGAACACTTTCCCTATGAGGAAAGGTTAAAGCGCTTAGGGCTCTTTAGCTTGGAGAAAAGACGACTGAGGGGTAGGACGTCCTTCTTCACCCAAAGAGTGATTAACACTTGGAATTCACTGCCACAGGAAGTGGTGGGTGCTACAAGCATGGATGGCTTCAAAAGGGAATTAGATAAGCATATGGAGCAGAGGTCCATCAGTGGCTATTAGCCACAAGGTATAGCTAGGGGCTCTGGGGCAAGTGATGCTCTGTCTTCTTGGTGCTGGGGGGGGGTCAACAGTGGGAGGGCTTCTAATGTCCTGGCCCCACTGCTGGACCTCCTGATGGCACTGGTATTTCTGGCCACTGTGTGACACAGAGTGTTGGACTGGATGGGCCTTTCGCCTGATCCAACATTGGCGTCTCTTATGTTCTTATGTTCTTAATTCTGGTTTAACTGGGACAATTTCTGAAATTAATGCCAGAACTACTATGCATGGGTTGCCACAGCTCACATTTTCGATAGTTCATATGCATCTTTTTCTTCTGTTGCTGATGTGCATGAATATATTTGATCAAACACCAGGAAAAATGTATGTATGTATATGTGTTCCTGCACATTGGTAAAGCACTACACAAAAAGATACTAGGGAAGGAAGGATATCAATCAGGGGGTTCACCTTGTGCACCACCAACCACCACAATCTTACAAGGAAATAATCCAGCCCAGTAGGAAAGCTACTGATTTCCAATTGGCCATAGCAGATCCTGTGATATGGCTTCATCCTTGTGAATGCCTTTGGGCCAGGTTCTCTCATTGGTCTGAGCAGCAATAAGTTCTTCCTTCCCCTGTTTAGTGTGTGACTGTCTTCTTGTGAAGGACATTTGGCTGAAAGGTAGTAGCTCATCCAGGGTCAACCAGAGAGTTTCATGGCTGAGTGGAAATTTGAACTGAGGTCTTCTTAGTCGTAATTTGACACACTGACTGCTCTATCACATTGCCCGTCAGAAATACTTCAGATAGTACAGTCTGAAAGGTAGGTGGAAGCATTTCTTGTTGTAAGCTAGCCACGCTTTGATTCTTACTGCTGTATGACACACTGATGTGATCACAGCTGGAGTCCATGCACAGGTTGACATAGCGTCATAGGCTGCTAGTCGGGAGTAGTGTGGCTCTTCTAATAACATCCATGCAATGGCACCACAAAGACATTAAGGCTATTACAATGATGATCATTAGTTATCCCATGTTTAGCCATTTTATTAAGGAAAGCACTTTATAACGCTTCCATCTCATCCATCCTCACAAGAAACCTGGTTGGTAGGTCATTATTATTCCCAAAGGGTGGCAAACGGCATTCCCTCCTCCTGTTCATCACCCCAACAAGACAGTGAAACCAGTTCTTATTAATCCCACGTAACACATTGAAGTGACTATAAAGTGACACTCTTGAATCCGTCGCTGGGAAATCTATAAACACCGCTGGCACGTTGGCCCAGCCGCGCAGCCTATTTACGGGAGAGGGAAACCGACGGCATCTATTAAAAAGAGTCTCAGTCCCATGGCGATATTTGGCTTGGCGGTTCTATACAGAGTAAGCACTGAAGGGAATTTCAGTGCCGTGAACTGCTTTCAGGATTCCTCAGGCCTAGTTTTATGGCGACAGAAACCCCCGTGTCTGAGTCGTAACACTTGACATTCATACTTCCCATGGTTTTAGCACTCTCAGATGATCAGAGTGCTTCAGATAATTATCTGGTTGTAATCCAAAGGGTGATCCTGCAAGGCAGGCCAGCCTTATTGCAGAATGGAGGGAGTTGAGGCTGGTAGAAAGGGCTAGGTCTAAGCCTACCTGTTGAGTTCATCACAGCGGTGGGACGCAAGCCAGTAACTCCCCATCCTTTGCTCATTTTCGTAGACCTCATTCACAAGTTACAGTGCATTGAGTAATTCTACAGGTGAATGTGTGAACTTAAACCCCATATTAATCCAGGTACTGGTCTTTGGTAAACTGCACACTCATCAGCTCTTTCTTACAAACAGGTATTCATATGAAAATGCAGGTTGTATATGGGTTTGCTGTAACATGTGACCAAGTCTTTAGGCACTGTGGGACACCTCATTCAGCTAGGGCATGCAGACACGACTTCTCCCCATTGCACATAAGCAGCACCTGAAAATCAGAGGTGTACTGCCACTGAACCTGGAGGCTCGGAAGATGTACAGTGATTTGTTTCCTTGTTCTTCTTTCCTTTCAGATCTTGTTGCATTAGACACCCTGCAGTGGCTTCCTCAACAGGAAATGCCAAGGTCTGTTTCAAGGTATGAAGTTTAGGCTGGTGCATGGCCAGCTCTATAATGAGGTGAGGTGAGGTAGTAAGGTTCCCAGACCGTGCCTAGCAATTGGTGGGAAATGGGGGAGACAGGGACTTAAGTCAGTGGCCCCACCTAGAAGTGATATCACCAAACTGGGGGGCCCTCTAGCATTTGCCACAAATTCTGTGATTTAACCATAGAGTTTTGGGTGAATGCTAGAGCATCCTCCAACGTGATGATGTCACTTCTGGGTCACAGCAAACCCCCTCATTTCACTTAGCATTTTATTCCCGCTGCCCAGGTAGGGGGCGGTAGGTTTCCCACCAAAGCAAGAGACCTGGTAACCCTATAAGGCGGTGAGCTAAGACGGGGAGGCAGGGAGGCAGACTTCACTTGTGCAGCAGCCACAATCTTGCTGTGCCACTCCATCCATTCCTATCATACCCTGCTGCCCCTTCCTCCAGTCAGAAGGCAGAGTAGCTAACACTTTTCTCTTGGAGATTCTCTCCACATTTTTAAAGGCTACAATAAAGTCCTAGGGAACCAGGGACCAGGAAAGATGGAGTGTTAACTGCTGCAGCTGCTAAACCCAAATGCTAAACCTCAATGTTCAGAGTCAGGAAGCTGATTTTCATTGACATTTATAGGATTTTTTAAAATTCCTGTGAGTTGCTTTGCACCCTTGCAACTGGAGATCCCAGAAGCATCCATACTGACAAGAAAACATGTTAACTGGATCTCTGTCTTCCTCCTTGCTCTTGCAAAGGTTGTCAGACTTTGTTAGGCTATACCACTTCAGTGTGCGGGCATAGGCTTATGTGATCGAACCCTTAACCACTTTTTTTTAAAAAACCCAACTTTTCTTGCATATAAAAAGCTAGTTTTTCAAGCTAGTTGGAAGCCTCTGTTTTCAATTTTCTATGTGAAGGGTTTTTCTTTTTGGTACAGAAAAGCACTGTCAGATTTCTCCCACCTGGAATCTGAGGTGGTACAGCTCAGCTGCAGGTCTATTGTGTGAGAATTAGGCCTTGATGTCATGGGCTTGACAATTTTGCCAGTGATGTCCAAATACCCCCAGTGTGAATTCTTGCGTTGGCTGCAGTTGGGTTCCTGAAGTTCTAGAGGTCCTTATTCCCAAATTTCAACTGGATGGCAATTAGGGTTGCCGTGTATGGCAACTGGCAGGGAGTGGGGCGTCAGGCAATGGTGTGATATACCACTTCTGGAGAAAACGCAGATGTGCCGTCATGCCTCTGCAGGAATTCCTAGAGCAGAGTGATGTCACTTCTGGGTTTCCCCCAGAAGTGACATCTTGCCATCAATGGCTATATATGTTTACATTGTTTTTCTCCAGCTGGTGTGGAGGAACTGGGGGTCGGGCACCCGAATGACAATAATTCAAATTACTTGGCTGTAAAAGTGTGCATGCACACAAGTGCTTATACCTTGAATAAACCTGTGTTTATCTTAAAGTTGCCACTGGACCCAAACTTTGTTTGGCCATATTGAGTTGAGGAGATATCAAGATCAGGATGGATTGTGGGAAACAATCCATCTTGATCTTGGGGGGGGGGGGCTGTGATTTCGCTCATGTTCTCTCTCTTGGTTCCAGTCTCCGCTGCAAAACATGCATTGTTGTAGGAAACGGTTACACCCTGCGTAGGCAGCGTTTGGGGAAGTTTATCGACTCACACGATATCATCATAAGGTAGTTTGCTTTGTTTTGCTTACCACAGGGATTCTGGGGTGGGTGAGAAGGAGAAGTTCTTCATGGGGTAACTTCCTGGATTGTCTAGTGAGAAGTACCTGGAAAAGTAATTTCGGGCTGCGGTCACACGAACAGTTTGCCGCAATATAGTAACGTTACCTTTGTGAATTTAAGGAGCACCATCCGACAGCAACATCTGCCTTCTGTGGCCCAGTCACCAGAAACGTGCCCCGCTCTATTTTAGAACCGGAGCCATCAGGCACCGGGAAAAGTCCAGTAGAAAAGGATGGTAGTGCTTCCACTCTGTTTTGTCCGACGTCTCAACTCTCCCGGTGCGAAAGGAACCCGGAAGGGAAGTGTGAACGGGCACCTCCATCTCATTCATGAGCTGCAGAGCTAGTTAACGGAAGCGGTTGTTTGCGCATGTGCAAGGGTGATTTTTTTAAAAAACTCCCACCAGCACAGCGCATCCTATAGCTGATGCACAACAACCTGCAGCAGAGGGTGCTGTCTGGTTGGCGTGCTCCACAACACTTTAAGCCGGTGCAATTAGAGGTGCCGCCATATTGCGCCAAGCCGCCAGTGTGACTGCAGCCACAGATTCCCCTACCATCCCAAGGACATTAAAAATGTTCTGAAGCCAGTCCCTGGAAAATAATGGGCTAAGGTTCCAAGTGACTGTTCCGTTGGCATTACAGCAGTTCCACTGAAGGAACAAGATTTCCACTGGTGGAAATTCGGAAGCCAACTCTGGGTTTGGAGACCTGAGGGGGCGGAGCCTGGGACCGTAGGGTTTAGAGAGGAAGGGGAACTCAGTAGGTTATAATGCCATACAGCTCACCTTCCAAAGCAGCTCTTTTCTCCAGGAGAAGTGGAGTACATGTTTTAAATAAATATGTGGCCTTCGTAGTCTGGAGTTCAATTGTAATTCCAGGATATCTCCAGCCCCCACCTGGAGGCTGTGCATATAACAGCACAGTCAAAAACTGGAACACTGTACCCAAAACATACTTGACACTTGATTCAAAACATTCTTATATTATACTCAAAACATTTTATAGTAACAGTGTAGTACTCCAAATAACCATTCAGATCCATCCCAAAGACACCAATGTGAATAGTCCAATACGGTTCAACAAATTCCTCACAGTCAGGGGTCATTTGCTGCGGGAGCGCACAGGAGCGGAGCTCCGGCAGTAAGGAGCTCAGGGGGCGGGCACATGCAACAAGCCCCACCCCCTGCTCCCAGCAGCCCTCAGTCGGGCCACGAGGAGCAAGAAGCAGCCAGGTAAGTTGCAGAGCCCCCCCCCCCCGGCCCGCTTTCAGGTACAAGCTCTCCTTCCTCTGTGAGGACAGCTCTGCATGGCCCCTCCCCAATAGCTAGCAATCCAAAACAGTCCAGTGGAGCCTGAGCGGTGGGTGTTGCCTTCTAACACACTTCCGGTGATGTCAGGGGGTGTGGCATATGCAAATAAATTATGCTAATGAGTTATGCTAATGAGCTCCTGCACCTCTTTTTCTACGAAATGACCCCTGCTCACAGTTAATCAATGTCCACAAAACTAAGAGGAGTAACAGTTGGATAGATGTCCACAAAGCACAGTTGCTAAGAGGTGTGGCGACAGACCGCCCAGGTTCCCATCCGCTTCCTTTCAGGACTTCGTCAGGCCACCTCCAGTGATGGAGCACTAAGCGCTACATATTTCTCTTGACTGTATACAGCAGTCTTTATCTATTCCAACCGGCTTGAATAATCGAGGTGCCAAGTATTTCTGGGTACAGTGTTCCGGTTTTTGACCGTGTTGTTCTATGCACAACCCTCTTTGCTGTACCTCCATTTATTTATTCCCCACCTGGAGGCTGGCAACCCTAGATGGAAGAGGGAGGGCAATTTCTGCTGGTTTCTCCCCTCCCACTTTGCCCTCTGCACTTTTAATGGGGGGGTCTTCTGACCTCCCAGGAGCACAGTCAAGGGGCACAGAAGGCTGCAGTGGGAAGCGGGGGCGTTCTTTAGCGCAGCTCCTCTGCTTGTATCTAAGATCTGAGCCATTGTCCCCATTCCTTGGCCTTGGGGGAAATGCCTTATCAAAATACTGTTAGAGTGACTCACTAAGGTGACGAGATGAAGGCCCCTTTCCTGGGAGCGAGCCCAGGAAAAAATTTCTTAGTTGACCTGCTTAGAATTTACTCCCTAAGTGTGGTCCTTCAGAGTCTTCTCCAGTCTTTAAAATCTGGTGGTGGTGGGGGAAGGGTTGCCAGCTCTGGGTTGGGAAATGCCTGGAGATTTTGGGTGTGGAGTCTGGGGAAAGCAGAATTTGGGAAGAGGAGGGACCTCAGGAGTGTATAATGCCATAGAGTCCAGCCTCAGAAGAAGAAGAAGAAGAAGAAGAAGAGATTGGATTTATACCCCACCCTTCACTTGGAGTCTCAGAGCGGCTTACAAACTCCTTTCCCTTCCCCTCCCCACAACAGACACCCTGTGAGGTGGGTGGGGCTGAGAGAACTCTGACACAAACTGCTCTTTCAGGAACAGCTGTGCCAGAGCTTGTGACTGACCCAAGGTCACATCAGCAGGTGCAAGTGGAGGAGTGGGGAATCAAACCCGGTTCTCCTACATTAGAGTCCGCGCACTTAACCACTACACCAAACTGGCAGCCGTTTTCTCCAGGGGAACTAATCTTGGCCATCTGGTGATCAAGTATAATAGCATGAGAACTCCAGGTGCCACCTGGAGGTTGACAACCCTATTGTCACGTCCTGAAAGAAACACATCTAAGAAAGCAGTTTTTGTCTGTTGATCTGAGGGCTTGCATCAAATTGGATCGGATATATTGCATATTCAGACTCTAGGTTGAATCACTAATGCAGGTGTGTAGGGCTGCATGACTCCTTGGAGAGCCAGTGCCTCTCGGGGCTACGGGGGCTAGGTGAACCGATTCAACGTAAGGTATATTCTGCCCTCTTCCCCCCCCCCACTCTGTTTGTTCTCACCACAGAATAAACGATGCCCCTCTGAAAGGTTACGGGAAAGACGTCGGCAAGAAAACGACCTTCCGCTTTTTCTTCCCCGAGTCAGCGTTGTCTGACCCTTTAGAAAACAGCGACAATGATACTGTGTTCATCCTTGTCCCGTTTAAGATGCTGGACCTCCTCTGGGTGAAGGAGGTACTTCAGAACAAGAAGGAGGAGGCGAAGGAGGAAGCGAAGAAGGCAAGAAATCTTTTGTATGGATTGTAGAAGGGAGGGGAGATGTGAGCAGAATACGGAGTAGTCCAGTCTCTAAAGCTATGGAAGCTGAGAGGTCCTATAACCCAAGCTGCCCCATTGCAAGCTCCCCTCTGAAAAGACTTCTACATCTCTGATAGATACTTATGCATCTCTGCAGGATTCTTACCCTTGCCCCCCCCCCCAAGGCTGTATTTGATTCATTTATTTGCTTTTTATATTTATAGACCGCCTTCTACCCACTTCTAACCTTTCAGAGGGACATCATTTTAAGGTGATACTGGACGGTTGTTCTTTTCTGCTTCTAACTTGGTGCTGCAGCCAGCTGAGACCCTCTCTTTGCATGGCTGTCTCAGAGTGTCACCCATTCTGGGTAGGCTTGCCAAACCCCCTGCTTTGGTGGGGGTTGCCCGATTTGGAGGGGCTCCTTCCCGCCTGCCAGCCAGCAACCGCCTGGCCTCCTCCCCACCTCTTTCCAACGGCGTTTAAAGACATCCTCTGGGGAGAGGCAGGGGCCACGCACCTGCACTCTGAGCCCCAAATTCGAGGCTGAGCGTGCAGGTGTGTGCGGCCCCCTCCACCTCTTTCCAGCAGGGTTTAAAACGACCCTTTAAAGGCTGCTGGGGAGAGGCGGGGGCCTCCGCTCTCCAACGTGATGATGTCACTTCTGAGTGATGTCATCATGCTGGGGGCTCTCCACCCCCTCCAGGCCCCCGGGAGGCAAGGCTCGCCATGACTAGGACCAGATCCTTTTCAGTAGTGGCCCCTACCTGGTGGAACGAGCTCCCGGAGGAGATCAGGGCCCTGCGGGACCTTATGCAGTTCCGCAGGGCCTGTAAGATGGAGCTCTTCCGCCAGGCTTTCACATAGGGGCCACCACTACCACCGCCACCAATGGATAACATCGGGGTTAAGGATGGCCCGGGAAGATCTGCCACAATTTCTGCGTGACCGATACCACTGGATTTACCTGGTTGAGCTATAGGATAACCATCATCCTTGGAGAACTGTCTGTTACCATCTGGCATGTATCCGGAGACCATCTTGTTAAATTGAGTACAATTGTTATTAATGTTTTTATTGTTTTATCTGTTTTATATGGGCTTTGCCCCTTGTAAGCCGCCCTGAGCCCGCTCTGTGGGGAGGGCGGGGTATAAATCTTAATAATAAATAAATAAATAAATCTGGCAACCCTAATCCCAGGGCTGGCATTTGGGATTGAGATGTGTGTCAGGCCTCTCACCAGTGCAGTATTTGCTATAGGGCAGTGGCGTGAGGTCTGTGTGCATGATGTGCCTCTCCTTGTCTCCTGCCTGGAAGGGAGGATCACACAACCCTGCAGGGCACATGTGTGACGGTGTCCTGCTGGTACGACGATTACTGGGATCACTGGGATGTCCCATTTAGTTGCTACAGGTGAAGACCTAATTCCAGTTAGGAATAATTTTGCAGTTGGCACCCCTGCAATTTCAGTTCCCAAATTCTCATTTTGACTTCTCTTCTGCTTTGGGCGAATTGAATGGGTAAGTCTTTATTTTCTTTCTGGATATTGATATTTGATTTTCGACTCACCCCCTGATTAGTATTCTTGGATTGGATCCCTGAAATCTGAAATCGAATGAGAGATTCTGAAGGCTCAATAAGTGGTCCGGAACCACCTGGTGCTTTAACAGGGCTGAAGCTATCAGGGGTGGACTTCAACATTCTGCTGAATGGAAGGCCTCTGGAAACCTCATGTAAAAGGACAAGCAAATGTGTAAGACATATTGTTTGAAAACCAAATTGTCATTTTCAGAGCTATGAATTCAAAGAAGTGCTTTGAATTTAGTGAATTTGAAGTATACCATCCCACTTTGGCTGCAAAAATTGAACTTTGCTATGTTTGAAATAGGAGGCTTTTGATTCACTTGGGGGATGCATGCGTATGTCTTTTTTGTATGTCATTTTGTGTATGTTATCTCCGTAAGCCCATTTTGGCTGCCTATTTTCCCAGTTTGTTTGTTATTCTCATGAGATTTTATGTCATTTTTTCTATTTATTATATTTTTTTTGGTATTTATTATGCAATTGATGTAAAAACCAGGTGACAATTCTAATACCAATACTATCTTATTTTTTAATATGGTTGGAGAAAGGAGGTTTTCAAATCAAAACAGGTCTGTCCACAAAATTTGGCAGCATTCTTGATTTTGACATTTTGGGGAGATTTTACTTCTAAGCACCTTAGGAACGCAGTGTTGGAAAATTAGATTTGAGTCCAGTAGCATCTTAGAGACCAACAAGAGTTTTAGGGTCTCTGAGGTGCCCCTGGACTAAAATCCAACTGTTCTACTGCAGACCAACACAGCTACCTCTGAAACTATCTTCATGGTGTTGGAAAGATTTCCTTCTCTCATTTGGACACATCTGTTAGGTTGGGCCATCTTCAGAAGCCCTGCTTCAGGTGCTTTCTGCTTGGAAGAAAAAAAATACTCCTTTAGATTCAGGGCTCTTTTTGTAGCAGGAGCTCCTTTGCACATTAGGCGACACACCCCTAATGTAGCCAATCCTCCAAGAGCTTACAGAGCTTTTCTTACAGGGGCTACTATAAACTCTTGGAGGATCGGCTACATTAGGGTGTGTGTTGCCTAATATGAAAAGGAGTTCCTGCTACAAAAAGAGCCCTGGATGCCCTCATTGATAACATTAGGTGCCAGATGAAAACAGTTTCATTCAGCAAGCCATTGATGGGCGATGACTCCTGACTTACCTTATTTATTTTATTTTTATTTTATTTATTTATTTATTGCATTTTTACCCCGCCCTCCCTGCGAACGGGCTCAGGGCGGCTTACACAGGGGCACAAGCCCATACATAAAAACAGTATAAAACAGTAAAAACTATTAAATCACGACAAAACAAATAAGTGCTCGGTACAAACAAGATGGTCTCTGAAGATGGTATTGATAATTTCATTAGGGTGAAATTGTCCTGTCGATGGTCTAAACCAGCTTTGCCTCCCGGGGGCCTGGAATCACCAGGCGGTGTTGTGTCCCCAACCGAAGTGCTTTTGGGGATATATGTGGGGAAAGATGGTCCCTCAGGTAGGTTGGACCCTGGCCATATAGGGCTTTAAAGGTAAGAACCAGCACTTTGAAGGGGATTCGGTATGCTATTGGCAGCCAGTGCAGTGCTTTCAGCCCAGGCTGGATGTGCTCCCACTTGGGGAGACCCATCAACAGCCTGGCCGCCGCATTCTGCACTAGCTGCAGCTTCTGGATCTGCGACAAAGGCAGTCCCATGTAGAGAGCGTTACAGTAGTCCAGCCTTGAGGTGACTGTCGCATGAATCACTGTAGCCAGGTCACCGCGGTCGAGGAAGGGAACCAACTGCTGAGCCTGCTTAAGATAATAAAATGCCGATCTGGCAGTGGCTGCCACCTGGGCCTCCATAGTTAAGGAGGGATCCAGGAGCACTCTCAAACTCCTAACCTCTGACGCTGGCACCAACGGCGCCCCATTGAAGGTTGGGAGAGGGATTTCAACCCCAAACCGCGTCGACTCAGGCACAGGACCTCCGTCTTCGCTGGGTTTAGTTTCAACCGGCTCAGCCTGAGCCACCCAGCCACTGCCTGTAGTGCATGGTTCAGATCTTCTGGGTCAGAGCCCGACCGGCCACCCAACATCAGATAGAGCTGGATGTCATCTGCATATTGATGACAACCCAGCCCATACCTTCTGGCAATCTGGGCGAGGGGGTGCATGTAGATGTTAAACAACATTGGGGAAACCACCGCCCCCTGAGGCACACCACACTCAAGTGGGTGCCTCCGGGACTGCTGTTCCCTTATCACCACGCTCTGTCCCCAACCTTGGAGAAAAGAGGCAAGCCATTGAAGAGTGAGCCCCTGTATCCCCACGTCGGCGAGACTGTGGGTCAGCAACTGGTGGTCGACCGTATCAAACGCGGCCGACAGATCTAACAACAGTGCCGCCACACCGCCTCGATCCAGATGCCTCCGGAGGACGTCAGTGAGGGCAACCAGCGCCGTCTCTGTCCCATATCCTGGGCAAAAGCCAGACTGGAGTGGCTCAAGGACAGAAGCGACATCCAGAAGGCTCTGAAGCTGTGTCGCCACCACCCTCTCAATCAGTTTGCCCAAATAGGGCAGATTAGACACCGGCCGATAGTTGGCCAGTTTACAGATAGGAAACCATATGTAGATAGGAGTCTTGATTGGGGAACAATGCTTGTTTTAGATGAGTTTTTGTATTCATTTTTCTCTATGCCTTAGACATTTATTTAAATGAAAAGTGGGTATATGTCCTTTTAAATAGCTCTATAATTAAGTACCTGGTGTTCCCGTATTATTATTTATTCGATTTCAAACTGCCCTCCCTTGGAAAAACTGGGCTCAGGGTGGTATACGACAAGATAACAAATACAACATCATTAAACAAATTAAAACAGATAAAAACATAACAGTCTCCTACGATGGTGTTAAATTTTTCTTGATGAAGCCATTGGCCTCACAGGGAGGCAGGGGGTGGGAGTGCCAGGCAGATGGAATTGTTGCTGTCCTCAACCAAATGCCTGGCAGGACATCTCTGCTCTTCAGGACATGCGGAACTGTAACAGGTTTTGCAGGACACGGATGTTATTCGGCAGAGAGTTCTATCAGGTTGGAGCCAGGGCAGAAAATGCTCTGGCTCTGGTTGAGGATAGCCGGATATCTCTCGGGCTGGGGACCACCAGCAGATTTTGATATAATGACCACAGTGCTCTCCTGGGGGTACACCAGAAGAGGCGGTCCCAAAGATACTTGGGCCCCAGATGGTTAAGGGCCTTGAAGGTCAACACCAGAACCTTGAACCTGATCCGGTACTCTACTGGAAGCCAATGCAGCTCATGCAGTACTGGATGGATGTGTGCTGTACGCAAGGTCCCTGTGAGGACCCACGCAGCCACATTCTGTACCAGTTGGAGTTTCCGGGTCAGCCTCAAGGGTAGGTCCATGTAGAGCAAGTTACAGTAATCCAGTCTGGAGGTGACTGTTGCATGGATTACTGTGGCTAGACTGGGGCGAGACCGGTAGGGAGCCAGTTGCCTGACCTCGTGCCGCTGGAAGAATGTCAGTCTGGCAATAGCAGTGACATGGGCCTCCATTGTTAAAGAGGCATCCAGGATCACACCCAGACTCCTGATGGAAGGTGCCAGTCTCAATGGCACGCCGTCAAGAGCTGAGAGCTCGCATCCCAAACCAGGGTCTCCCTGGCCCAGCCACAGAACCTCCATCTTAGAAGGATTCAGTTTCAGCTGGCTCTGTTTCAACCACTCCACTACAGCCTCCAGTCCCTCGGCCAGGTTTCCCGGGGTGGTGTCTGGCCACCCGCCCATCAGCAGATAAAGCTGGGTGTCATCAGCATACTGGTGACAACCCAGCCCAAACCTTCACACCAGTTGGGCGGCACATATAGATGTTAAATAACATTGGGGAAAGGCTTGCCCCCTGAGGAACCCTACATACTCAGGGGTACCTAGGTGACATTCTCTCTTCCAGCATCACTCTCTGTCCCCAGCCTTGGAGAAACGAGGTAAGCCACATTAAGACTACCCTGTGAACTCCTATGCTGGCGAGATGGTGGGTCAGAGGATCATGATCGAGCATGTTGAATGAGATCTAGCAATAACCCACCTCGATCCAAGTGTCTGAGGGCGACCAAAGCCATCTCCGTCCCTTTCAAACGGTACGGAGTATCTGCCTTGTCTTGCTATTTTCCCCCCTTTTTTTGCTGTGATAAGTCAACTGATCCTGCGCAGAGATGCTGATAAAAGGAGAGGAGTAACCAATAGCATAAGACCCCTGAGAGACGCATTGTGGCTCTATTGACATGAATTGTGCAGCAGATAAAACTACAGGTTCCATAATCCCTTGCAGGAAATGATGGCTGGGCATATGGAATTTGTATAAATCCAGAAAAAGCCTTACAGTGTGCTTCTCCAGTATCTAATGTGCCTTTATCACTGTTGTTACCACTTTCCCTTCTGAAAGATAAGGTTTGTAGTACTTTGGAAAAAGGAAGGGGGCAATAGGAAGGAATGGGGACATTTTTGTCCCCTATGCAACCGTCCTCATTGAATGTTCTCTGGATTTTTTGCGAGTTTCTTAGGGACAATTGCAAAAGTGTTTTTTCAAATTCATGGTCATCGGGTGTGCGTGGGGGGCTTAATATGTGTTGCACATCACGATTTCTGAGTTCCTTCCTTGCCTCCTGTAGATTCTGACCGGGTTTTGGCGCCAACCCCCTATGGAATGGAAGGGCAAAGCCACCCACTTGCGCATAATGAACCCCTATGTTACCTTCGAAGCTACATTCAGATTCCTCCAACTGGACATGTGGCCTCGGGTAAGGACTCTAAACCCTTTTTCTTAAAGCATTTTATGGCTATAGTATAAGGCTGAGTGTATTCCTTACACCCACTCCCCCAGTTCTGTGTTGTGCAGCTTGACTCTTCTTTTTGGGGTGGTGTAACTTTTCTTGCTGTAGAAGAAGAGGGCCATAACGATCTGAGTTGTTGGCTTGCTTCTGCAAACCTCTGTAACTGGGATCCCCAATGCTCTGCCTGTGGGCAACATGGTACTCCTAGTACTTTCCTAGTACTCACCAAGTATTTTTGGAAACTGGATGGGCCCACTTGTCCAGCAAGGCTTTTGATTGTGTGTCACAGATAGTAGCTGTGCAAATTCTCCAAGTAATTCTACACAAAGATAGAAATAGGGGAACGGTGGCACAGAGGATTTATCCTCTGGTTAACATCTGAACTGAACAGAGTTGCTGTCAGTTCTAACCCGCACTGGTGTGAGCTACCAGCCTTATCCCCAGCTCACCGTCCACCCAGCGGTTCGAAAGCTTTGGCGAGTAGATAAAATGGGTACCACTCCTTAGAAAGTGTGGACACACTAAACCCCCGTAGGGGAGGTGTTAGCCTGCGAATGGAATGTCCAGCTTGTAAGCTGGGAAGCCTGATAAAAAGACCTCTTCGGCATTAAGAAGCCTGTAATGGGCCAATCCGGCCAGGCGGTGGCAGTGCGGCGCTACGATTCAAAGCAGCCTGGGAAGAACCAACGTCATCAAGCCAAGCCGAAAAGTGAATGCCTCCGGAACACGTCTGAAGCCTACAGCTGAACAAAAAATCCCCGTCGGCTGCAAAATGTGTGCAATTTAAAGAATTATATGTTGTCCTCCCTTTATTATTATGATTATTGTTTCTAAATGGTCTAATTCTAGAATAGCTTTAGCCTAAAAATATTTAAATTAGCCAACTAACCTGGTAATGAATATCCCACTCGTCAGGATGTGTGTCACTTCCTTCCAAGGTAGTAGTCAAGTTACAAATCGCTCACATTACATCATTATATAGCGGAACCCAGGGATTGGAGATCTGATTGGCTGGGCAGATTAAAAGAACATTGTTGCAATGGCAGCTGCCACCACAGTGTTGACTTTATCCTCTCACTCCTCTTTCCCGGTGTATTTTTAAAATTACCTCCTCCTCCCCTGCAGTTGGCCTTCCTCTCTGTGTGTGTCTCTGCCTCCGGTGGCAGCCATTTTGTGGTTGTTCCCACCACCCTGTGCCAGAATTTCAAAGATGCCCACAGGCTTAGAAAGGTTGGGGACCCCTGCTCTATAACTAGAGCCAGTTTGGTGTAGTGGTTAAGAGTGGTGGACTCTAATCTGGAGAACCAGGTTTGATTCTCCACTCCTCCACCACATACAGCCAGCTGGGTGACCTTGGGTCAGTCACAGGTTCTCTCAGAGCTCTCTCAGCTCCACCTACCTCACAGAGTGTCTGCTGTGGGAAGAGGAAGGGAAGGAGATTGTCAGCTGCTCTGAGGGCTCTTCCGCATTGTCATTTTCGTCACTCGTTTGTCCCTATTGCTTTGAGTTCCTCCCCCCCCCCCTTTCCACATGTGTTTTGCTCCCTCTGGGACTACTAGAGAAAGCAGAACACATTTTTTTTAGGGGGGAACCCTGAAGCAATAGGGACAAAAGACTGACAAAAATGACAATGTGGACTTCTTCTTCTTCAAGTTGCCCTGCCAGGTCTCAGGGTTTGACCTGTGCTTTCATGGGTTTAGCCTTGTTTTTAGGGTTTGCAGAGGAAGAACTAAGATGCTGTTTTCTGCATGGCTCAAAGTGTCTTAACTATTAGCTCTGCTCCATATCCAGCAGCTGCCATCTCCTGATCCACCAGCTGCCATCTCACCAGGATCCACTCACTGACCGAGACACCACCGTATAGCTTCTAGGCTTCAGCCTCTGAGTCTCAGGGGCTTCTTCAGAAGACTTGCTGGTACTTCCCAGAGCTGGTGCAGTGGTCGGAGTTGTAACACTAGTAATTTATTTATTTATTTATTTATTTTATTTTTCACATTTTTATCCCACCCTCCCCGCGAGCGGGCTCAGGGCGGCCTACAAGGGGCAGAACCCACGCAAAACATAATAAAAGCAATAAAACCATTAAATAACACAGATAAAAAATAAAGTGCTCCATGAAAACAGAATGGTCCCCGAATAAATCTCATGATGGTAACAGTCAATTCTTTGGGGGTGATCTTGTCCTGTAGTTGGTCCCAAGTAAGTCTGGCGGTACCAGTGCCATGTGGTGTTGTAGAAGATCTTCCTGGGGCCATCCCTAACCCCGTTGTTATCCACACCATTCGTGGTGGTGGCAGTGGCGGCCCCTATACGAAAGCCTGGCGGAAGAGCTCCATCTTGCAGGCCCTGCGGAACTGCATAAGGTCCCGCAGGGCCCTAATCTCCTCCGGGAGCTCATTCCACCAGGTAGGGGCCACCACCGAAAAGGATCTGGCCCTGGTTGTGGCGAGCCTTGCCTCCTGGGGGCCTGGAATCACCAGACAGTGTTGTGACCCCAACCGAAGTGCTCTTGGGGGTATATGTGGGAAAAGGTGGTCCCTCAGGTAAGTCGGATCCTGGCCATGTAGGGCTTTAAAGGCAAGTACCAGCACTTTGAAACGGATTCGATATGCTATTGGCATCCAGTGCAGCGCTTCTAGCCCAGGCTGGATGGGCTCCCACCAGGCCCGTAGCCTGCGTGGGGCCCACGGGGCCTGGCTTCCCTGCTGGTTTTGCGGGCCCCCTCCCCTGCTCCCCCCTCCCCCGTCCCAAATCAGCGCTGCCGCTGCCGCCACCTCCTTCTCTGGCCCTGGCTGTCAGGGTCCCGGCTCCGGCCACAGCCCTTCCTGCCTTGGCGGCGGCCCGCCTATCACTTCCAACCCCCGCCCCCGGTGGCAGGCCCGCCTCCCCGCCTGCCCGAAAGCGGGGGCTGACCAGCCGTACAATGGAACTCTCCGCAGCCGCAGCCCGAGAGGGGAGGAGAGGAGAGGCGACCCTGGCAGCAACAGGCAGCGCCTCTGCCCGCGCGCCTCCGAGACGCAACGCAGCTGGCTCTCCTCGCCACACGTGCGCTGGCTGTGCCACTCCGCTCTCCGAGAGGCCTTTCTGGGGCCTCTCAGAGAGCGGACTGCAAAGAGTTCCATCGTCCTCTGGCCAGTCAGCCCCTGCTTTCGGGCAGGCGGGGAGGCGGGCGCGCCGCTGGGGGTGGGTGGGAAGCGATAGGCGAGCCGCCGCCAAGGCAGGAAGGGCTGTGGCCTGAGCAGTCAGGGCCAGAGAAGCAGTCAGGGCCAGACCCTGAGCAGTCAGGGCCAGACCCTGACAGTCAGGGCCAGAGAAGGGGGGAGGGCATTACGCCACTCCCGGTGATGTGTGTGCGGCGCGCGCACTTGCTTCGTGCGCACACACACACACTCCGCCCTCCCCTTTCCCCAGGGCCTCCCCACTAGGAGGGCTTTAGCTACGGCCCTGGCTCCCACTTGGGGAGACCCATCATCAGGCTGGGCGCCGCATTCTGCACCAGCTGCAGCCTCCGAATCTGCACCAAAGGCATCCCCATGTAGAGAGCGTTGCAGTAGTCTAGCCTCGAGGTGAACATCGCATGGATCCATCGCATGGATCACTGTAGCCAGGTCGTCACGGTCGAGGAAGGGAACCAACTGCCGAATCACCCTAAGATGATAAAATGCTGATCTGGCAGTGGCTGCCACCTGGGCCTCCATAGTTAGGGAGGAATCCAGGCGCATTCCCAAACTCCTAACCTCCGACGCTGGCACCAATGATGCCCCATCGAAGGTTGGGAGAGTGTTCCCCAACCCCGATCCATTCCGACTCAGGCACAGGACCTCCAACTTCGCTGGGTTTAGTTTCAGCCAGCTCAGCCTGAGCCACTCAGCTACTGTCTGTAATGCCCGGGTCAGATCTTCTGGGTTGGAGCCCGACTGGCCACCGAACATCAGATAGAGCTGGGTGTCTTCTGCATATTGATGGCAACCCAGCCCATAACTCCTGGCATTCTGGGCAAGGGGGCGCATGTAGATGTTAAACAACATTGGGGAAAGCACTGCCCCCTGAGGCACCCCGCACTCAAGTGGGTGCCTCCGGGACTGCTCCTCTCCTATCGCCACCCTCTGTCCCTGACCTTGGAGAAAAGAGGCAAGCCATTGAAGAGCGAGCCCCTGTATCCCCACGTCGGCGAGACGGTGGGTCAGCAACTGGTGGTCGACCGTATCAAACGCGGCCGACAGATCCCGCAGAGCCATCTGAAGCCGTACTGGGTCCATTTGGCTCTGTGGCCAAGCTAAAATCTGCTCGCTGCCTAAACAGGGTTGGGGTGGGACATTTAGACAAGCCTTCAGGGCAAAGTGGTCTGACCATGGTACTGCTACTGCAGTAATTCGGTCCACTGTAATCCCCACCGCGAAGATCAAGTCGAGCGTGTGCCCGGCCTGGTGCGTGGGGGTCGACACAAATTGAGAGAGTCCCAGTGCCGCCATGGTAGGAACCAGGTCTGCAGCTCAGCTGGAGGCCGCATCATCGGCATGGACGTTGAAGTCACCCAAGACCAAAAGCCTAGGGTTCTCCAGCGCCCAGCCTGATGCGGCCTCCAACAGGGATGGCAGGCTACTGGCCGGTGCATTAGGCGGTCGGTACACTAGCCAGATCGCCAAACTCTCCACGGTCTCCAGCACGAGGCCGACACACTCCATGCCCGTGATCTCCATTGGGGGGGAGTGCCCTGAAGGAGTAAGCCTCCCGAATGAACATCGCCACTCCTCCCCCTTGCCCCTTCGTCCGCGATTGGTGTAGGACCGAGGACCCGGGTGGGGCAAGCTGGGAGAGAGCTACCATCTCCCCATCCCTCACCCAGGTCTCGGTCATACACGCCAGGTTCACCTGCTGTACCCTAATGAAGTCCCGAAGGACTATCGTTTTATTATGGTCCTCGATGGTCCGCACTGCAACTGAGAGACTGGGGGTCAGCTCCTCGC